CTGGGGTGATCCTGATCATCGGGGACGAAGTTGCTCGCTTCCTTCGGCTTTGGGCTAGTTGTTACGTGTTCTCACAAGACGTGTGCTCTGCTCTCCGTACGGAATTCCTTCGCAAATTTGTATGTCGCCGGTGCGCATGTCTTGTCCCTTGGTACTCAGTGGTCAAGACGGGTAGTCCTATGCACTGAGCCCGGAACACGACACTTCCTGCTCACATCTATCTGCTTCATGCTCGTCGTACAAGGGATAGCAGCTGAGCGACGAAACTAGGTCCTAATAATGGCAGTCGTCGATTTATCATTTGCTCATGGCTGCTGTTTTCACCCTACTTTATGAGACTTAGATGGCGTGCGAGAAACAAAAGAAAAATACTCACATCTATTTCACAGGTCTGCACCTAATGGGCAAATGCCATAGTTGCAATATGTAACTTTACAACGACATATGGTTGCCTTTCTCCAGATCGTAATTAAATAAACTCAAGGCGGGTCGCCGAGAGTCATTAGGATGGAAAGGGATAACTTCCTTGCACCAGCACCAATGACAAGCCGAAAGCTGACCTCGAGGAAGGCAACGCACGGTGAGGTAGGTGGCAAGCATTGGGGGACATGGCAGCAGTATAAAGAGGCGAGGAATTCATGCAGAGAGGGTGGGTCGTACATGTGGAGGTCGAAGAGGATTATGAAAGGAGCGAGCGAAGCAGGCGAAGTGGTTCTTGGCTAGTAGGGACGTGGTCAAAAGGCGGAACTCTCAAGAATCTGTCGTTACCTTGTAGCCGCTAACAAGATGGCAAGCGGCCATGACGTCGACGATAAGGCTTGAGCTAGCTCCCTTCAAACATTTTATTCGGACTGGTGGACGCCGATATACCGAGGAGGCCCTACTGGTAGCCGATTTGTGCTAAACTGACCATGAGATTCGCCGCCCGCGACAATGGATTGACAACGCACCCGTTCCCACTGGCCGTGGGTTCTTCAAAGCAAAAGTGCTTCTTTCAAAGCACTCATCCTTTCCCCTCGTCCTCAGAAATTATACTGCCATTGCGTCGTGAATTTGCCATCATGCCTGGGAGAGTCTTGACATTTGTACCCAGCAGCGACTGGTGCTTCATGTCAAATCACACCGAGAAGGGCGTTGGCGAAATGCACAACAATACCATAGATAAACTATAGTACACTGTGGCAACGGAAGACGTCTCCATCGGCTGGTCAGTCGTCTTTTCGTCCTTGATTTTCGATGGCCTTCATCTCCTCTGGCTGGCAGCAGTGAAGCAGCAAGAAATCGACACCGGTACATCTGGTATTGATTGTGAAATTGGTCTTCCTTGAGAGAAAAGTAGTTACGCACCCATTCCCACTCTTCCCAACATCCAAGCCCTGCATGTACGTGCAATTACAAGGCCGTAACACTCATCGTGCTACGACATCGAGCGATTCCCATAGCGTGCCAGTTCGTCGGCGACGTCCTTTGGGCAGTATCATGTGCTCGTCTTAAGTGAAGTGTCCAGGACGACGTACATAGGATTAGTACCTCTTCTCAGTCTTCATTCAGCTTCAGCGTTAATCCCGTGTTGCTCCTCGGTGATTTCTCACGTCGAGGAGCTAGCAATAAATAGTAGAGACGTCAACTCCAAGCGAGCAGAGAAAAAAGATGACAATAGCCTTGGTGGTGGTACCGGTGCAAGGATGTAGCGGTCGAAGATGCAGCTGTAACCACGTGGGACGGGTTGGCTTAAGTTGTGGATCCAAATAGGTCCCTCCCTCCCTTTTATCAGTCACTCGCAAATGTCACGGTATAGTACTGCTTCCCAGCGCTCGTTTCCCCTGGATTCCTTTTGTTCATCTTATTCCCTCCGTGTCTTTCTCGTAAATATCCTCAAAATATATGATATCTGCTTCCAAAGCGCTGCCAATCATCCCGCTACACCAGTACGACTTCATCGAAAGGATGAAAAGCCCCACAATGGACTTCTATGTTGATCGTATGTGTACCAACCAGTTTTATTTTGCTTCCCTTCTAAACTGGCTAGCCAGATATTATAAACGAGCGACAACAAGCGCTACTGGTGCTAGAACCTGAAATAACGTTGCCTCCAGTGTTGGTTCACCTTTCAGCTTCACGAATCACCGTCCACCGTATCCAGCGCCGATGCAAATTGCAATGGCGCCGTGAAAATTTTACAGGATTTTACTTATGCTCTATAGTCTCAAGGATGGCGAGGCAGGTATGACCAGTCGGGGGCTAGAGCCTGCATATCGCACAGCGTCTTGTCCCCTTTGTGTTCGGGTAAGCATTGTCCTTTCGTACGTGTTAGAAACTTATTGATAATGCTATACACAGTGCATGGTGCATGATGCCACGCATGACCTAGACCAAAGGCATCCCGCCGCAGAGAACTGGCAACATGCTAGATGGTCGCTGGCATAGGTGACTTCGAGCCTCAGAAAAGCAACTTGTGTCGATGACCACCAAGTTGAAGAATGAAGCTGGGAGATTAGGATGTTAGCTGGGAGGACCGTACGTATATCGTTTTTCTTCCTTTGTTTCTAAATCTTACAGCTGTCGCTAGCCATCAATTCTGCTTTACCACTCGCTGATGCCCAAGACGCACCGTATGGCTTCGTCCGTCGCAATTATGCACAATCGAGCAAAGTGAATTATGGGCTATGACTATAGGAATCTATGGGCGTAATAGCGTGCAAAAATTCATGTAGGCACCAGTTGCATTTTTCCGGTCGCAACTTGGTTATTAGCCACCAAGTTCGCTTGTATTGTTCCGCAAGTTAGTAATTTTTTTCGCAAGTTTGCTATTGGTTATAGCTTTAGAATAAGTAAGGCCTGGGCTGTGATATACAAATTTCTGTCCAGTCGTCCGGACACCTGACATTGGTTATGAACCACATGAAAACTAACATTCTGGGAAGGAATATGGTACCTACGCCGTTCAGCAGGAGTAACTTGTGACTGGGAAAAACCTAACTTGCGTTCATCGGATTTTTTGCACGCTATTACGCCCATAGGAATTGAATGTCGGACATTAGTATCTCCCTTGACAACCCTGGTATCTACGACGACGCACTGTGGTACACTCACCACTCAGCCCTGCAAGAGGCAATGGGATGATCGCCGTGACCGTAGTACGGTGTATATGGACGGTCTCTAAGGATCGCAACGGAAACGTTAACCAGCTCCAATTGACTGACTGCGAACCACGGCTATGAACCTGTCCGTTAGTTTGATATCTCATTTCTCGGTCAATGGTCTCTGGTAACGCACTCCTTTGTCCCCGGCACCAATCTAGAGGAGTTGATACATATCTGCGCCAGTTGAGATAAATTGGTGGTTCCTTACTACTGGGATGTGAGAGAAGGAGATAAGCACATTTCTGTCCTTCGGCGCCTGATGCTATCTGCTTATGATATAGGTCACTTTTTCACCACTTTGGGAGACAGCCTGAGTCTTATCGTATAAAGGGTCAGGCATAGCACTGGAAACACAGCGCTACTGTTCTTTCATCTTTCTGTCAGTGTGATATAATGCCTAGTAAGTGATCCGAGTACGTTATTTTGTTCAATGGCTCACCTATTGGGGCGGGGCAGAATCATTCGTCACCCATCTTAACAACTGCAAGACGTCTTGACTGAAATACCCGCCTTGATGCTCACTATGCTTCCTTAGATTTTCAGGCTCAGGGAGATACCAACGTTTTAAGTTATCAAGAGTCGGTCGTCGGGCCCTCCAACAAGGCGGAGTGGACTGTTATTTGCAAAGGTAGGGTTCTCTCTTTCTTTGAGTCACGCCTAGCCCATGACGGTGTAATTAGTATCTGGTGAAATTAAAGGGATAGGCGTGGGTCCTTCCAAATCTGCCGCTAAGGAAAGGGCAGCTAAGCAAGCGCTTCAGGTGAGGTTATCGCTCCTCTGCCCACGATTTAACTTTGACCGATGAATATTGCTATCCTTCTTTCTAGGGCCTCGGTGTAGCTTAATCAGCCTGCGTCACTAATAAGAACTTTTTGACTGTATAAATAATCTATGTACGGGCTTCGTTACAATAACACCTGTGTTTACCCTCGGCAATTCAATTCAATGATTTTCCGTGGTGACTGCACTTTACATAATCAAGCGCTTTCAAATTTTTACTTTCAACATGGCGCCTTGATCGTTGAACTTTGTTTTGACTCTTGGAGCGGCAGTCGTAGGTATTGTGGATTCCATGCAAGATATCTTTCATCTGCTGACGGCTTTGTTTCCAGGGGTCGTTTCTGGGATGTACATGTTCGAACCATTGATCAAAAACACGTAAGTCAGGAAAGCTACGAGCTATAGAAATGGTGTACGCCATCGGAGACTCGGAGCCGCGCAGGCGGGCCTGCGTGCTATTTATACGTCATGCATATTACCCCACTGTATTAAGGCCATCTTGGTAGATGTACAACTTGTGCTTGGCCGCATATGAAATCGCGCAGTAATGCCAACAGTACACGGAGGTGTTCCTCCGAGTAGCTGGGAAAGAGTTCGACAAAGCTGTCAGTGAGGTTTTCCAGAATTAATTCAAGTTTACTGATTTGCCTAGCATGTACTTATCCGTAAAATTTCTCTCAAGTCGCCTCATGCAAATTCGAACACGTTCGAAACGGATTTTGCGAGAATCCCGTTCGAAAGATTTCAGGGTCAACAAAGTCCTTTGCGAATATGCTCTCATGGTATGGTGTTAGCTACTGCTGCTGAAGTAAGGTCTATTCTAATCAGTTGGATGTCCTTCGCTTAGTAGGAAGCAGGAGTTTGAAGTCACCTTTAGTATGATATATAACCGAGTCTATCTATAGTTTCAGGACAATTCAAGACCCGGAAACTGATCTTCGAGTCTCTCAGCCTTTCTATTCACTCACGTCGGGTGGTGTACAGAAGAATACTACCGAAATCTTATTGCAAGCTACCTATAGAAAGCTGCAGACAAGACCAATATTTAGTTCTTTACTAGCCATTCAAATCGTTCTCATGACCGCCAGCGTAGCAGCCAAAGGCATCTCTTTTTTCACGCCTGAGAAAAACCCCCTTGCTGGGACCGCAGCCGCTTCCCAACCCGATGATAAACCTATACCGCTTCTTTTCCAGCCACTCACGATACGAGGGTTAACTGTGCAGAACAGGATCTTTGTAAGTCATCTTACGAGGCGATGACAGCGTCCTCAATGCCCCCCTGGTATAGGTATCGCCCATGTGCCAGTATTCAGCAAACGATGGAAAGATAACCCCCTGGCATTTCGCGCAGTACGTTTCATATGTTCCGTAATTGATAGCATCTTATCGTCTTACAGTTGGCGGCATCTTCACCCGTGGTCCTGGACTTACGTTCACTGTTGAAGCTACAGTCGTCATTCCAGAAGGCCGCATCGCTCCAGAAGGTGCTGGTATCTAATCGGACGAACATGCGGCTCTCTGGGCGCCTATTGTCAAGTTCGCGCATTCGCAGAACCAGAAGATCGCGATGCAGCTGGGACACGCTGGTCGAAAAGCATCCATCAACGCACCATGGTTACCTGGCCCTAAATTGGCGACGGCGGAGCTTGGAGGATGGGCTGATGATGTCTATGCTGCGTCGCCGCTTCGATTCAATGACGACTATCCGTTGCCGAAAGAGATGTCGAGGGAGAGGATCAAAGAGGTGGTGGACGCATTCAGGAAGGCGGCAGAGAGAGCTGTGAAAGTCGGGTTCGATGCTCTCGAGGTCCATGGTGGACATGGCTACTTGCTGTTTGGGTTCATGAGCCCAACTAGTAACCATCGTACCGATGAGCATGGTGGAAGCTTTGAAAACCGTATTTGTTTCGCTTTGGAAGTAAACGACGCGATTAGATCTGTGATGCCTCCCGAAATACCGCTTTTCTACAGGTGAGTCGGTTTGACTGGTACTAATGGTCGGCTACTAACATGTTTGCTCGCCAGAATCTCAGGAAGTGAATGTGTAGAACAGACCCTCCCCAATATCCATTTGTGGCGTTCTGAGGATACCGTCAGAATCGCGCCTATTCTCGCAGCTCACGGCGTCGATGTTTTAGATGTGTCGACTGGCGGCAACAACAACAAGCAGAAGATTATTCCTGGTCCTGCGTATCAGTCACCGTTAGCACATGCCGTGAGGAGAACCAATCCTGGATTACTGGTCGCCACTGTAGGAGGCATAACTGACGGCCATACTGCGCAAGGCATGTTGGAAGACGGTCTAGCTGATGTGCATCAGCGAATTGGACAAAAATATATATGCCCGTATAAGCCCGTGGCAAAGGTCAAAATGCATGGCAAGGTCCGAAATAATTGCGCGAGCCTTATATGCTCATATGAAGCGTGAAGAATTGATAATCCTCCAAGTATGGTTATGAGTGTTTCCAATGTCAGTAATGCATGTCAAGCTTCGCAAGGTACCAGCACAATTACTTGATGTCATATGAAAGTATGACATGAGCAACATCTTAAAGTGAGTTCATAACACCTAGTAATCTTCGGGTGGCCTGCTGTATATACTATGCATATTTTCACTCTTAGAGACTTGGAGAGACTTGAAATAGCATATTTATTACTACCATAAAGAGAATACAGGTGCATATATACATTTAATGCTGTGCCTGTTTATATAGATGGGCTCGAATTTGTTCTAACTTCTCCCCTGCTCCCCCCTCTTCGCTGCCAATCGCTTTCCAGAGCTGTCGTTGGGAAGGAACTTGGAAATTCAAGTCTTTCCAACCTTGAAAATGCTACTAGGAAAAAGAATGTCAGTGCAACCCCGCAACATATGAGAGAATCACCTCAATTTGTTGGACCTTCTCATCCGCGATACCTCGGATGCTATTAAAGGGCAACGTCACACGGGAAAGTACATGCCCCATCTGCTTGAACTCCCTAAGATGATATACGGTGCCAATCCCAAGGAGAGAGCTATTCTAAACTCACCGATGCTTGGCTCAGGTGCCCCTCAATACGACCGCTTCTTCCTCCAACTCTACAATACGTCGCTTCAGAAGAGCAACGTTTGAACTTGATGCATTGATGGCTGAGAGGATCTTGGTAGGTTGGGAGTTTGCGATTCTTGGAGAGATGGTGGCATGTTGCTTGAGATGCTAGCGTTGGGCCTTGACTTGTGACTGTATTTATGTTGAAAACTATTCTAGCTCCGAGCTCAGAAGAAGAAGTCCACATCGGAGAAGAACGGGTCTAGAGGAAGGGAGACCTTGTGGGTCTGTGTCTGGCCCAATGGGCCAGGGGCCTCCATGAGGAGAAGGAAACTGAGTTGAAACGAACCAACGAACCGTGAGCTATCACGTGGTGCATCACAGCCACCATGACGCATCGATCTGGTGATCGCGAGTTGCTATCCTCCGACTCGGAATCAACTTGCACCACTAGTCGCATGCTCAGTTTTTCATAAAATGCACCACATCACTTTTTATCATGTAAGCTTCCCCTTTCTCCTGTGTTCCCACAGAAGCGGGGTGTGGCCAAAAAATCAGTACACCCAAAGGACCCTCACTTCGCAAGAATCGCTGCGAAGTCGGTATTCGACTAGTGGGCTCAGGTAAAGCTAGACAAGTCTCCACACACAAAATGGGGACAGATAGACACTAGATTATGGAACTGTCATGGATGTACACACATAGGGAAATGATGGCAAGGATCAGAGCTCTGAAGGCAGTAGGGATGAGAGACTGTGTGAAGAATGCACCAATTCTGGTGGACCTGCAGAGTCAAGCTACCATGATGTCAAAGATATAGGGGTCTTCTGATATGTATTATATTTATATGTCATGCCTAAGAGACAAATACAATCGCTACTGCCATTTTACAATCAATCTGTGCAAGCTAGACCGCATATTATTGAGCTTATGGTAGCAATATATGAGTCGGAAATAATTTTATGCAATCTTGAAGGACATGTTATTATTATGTAGGTTTCTAATGGCGTATGAAAAGGTCGCAACATTGTGCCTTGGTTACATGGACCCATAAGGCCTTGACAAGGCAGATAAGAATTATGCCAGACCGTGGTCGGCGTAACCCCCGGCAATTTTTTTCCTGATCTGCTGATGGTGGTATTGTGCAGTAGAGCCTTCCAACAGAAGCTGGGTCTCGTGTTAAGATGTGCGCAAGACCTTGATGTAGATATACATCTTGCACATCAGATACGATGAGGCTACAAGATGGGGAGGATTTGATGAAAGCTAACTTGTAGACTCCTTTTAGTATAAAGCATTTTAGTGTAGAGCAAAGCAATCCGAGACTATGAGCGTTTCAACCTGTAGATATTTGAGACAGTTTGATGACAGAAAACCACAGTAATCATCGAGGTATTTGTCAGGGTGACATCCGCAGGGCATCGTGGACAGAACAGAGAGCCATGTGACAAGTTGATATTTTACCACTTGTGGGAATAACTTCGAGTCAGAGAGAATAACGAAGCCTTGTGAGTTGAGAGCTATCTTGAGATAACTGCTTGATAGTCATGAGTATAGTATGCTGCACAACACCAGTTTAAAGAGGATCTTGGTGTCGTATCAAGACTCAAGTGAAGAAATGCTGCCCAGCACAAGCCAGCACATGGGCCAACTGTAGTGATCTCTGCCACATGCACTGAACTCCTCACCTGGACCACCACAGACCAACATCGTCATGAACATTGCTATGGATGATTTCGCAGGAACTGAGATATGTTCAGCAGTGATGGATACATACTGGGGAGTGGCAGTCGAAGTCCCTTCATATCTTGGTAAGACTAAGTATTGTCTTTCTCTTGCATTGCCAAAATTCATCAGTATACACAGAGTATGGATACAAGGCGTAAATTCAACCTAGGCCTATCCCGGATACTCCCCTTTGAAATGGAGAAACAATGGGCTAGATGGTTGCTGATGACTTAAAAAAAACATCGACGTTGGTGACCACCATGCTGGAGGGTGTTAGTTAAGAAGACTTGCAGATCTGTGTGCTCATTGTCTGTTTTTCTCTAATTCTCAAACTCACAGCTATTTCTAGCAATCAGTTCTGCTTTATCATTATTACTGCAGTCTCGTATGCCCTGGCATCTGTCGCACTCGTGCAGCCAAGCGAAACAGGGCATGGGCTACAGCTATCAAGATCATGGAATACCAGTCCCTTTACCACACTGGCACTTATGGCGAGCAATACCCACGTATCGACACCCACCACTGTGAGAACTTGCAAGAGGCATGACGACCGTCATCGTCATACTATCAGCTACAATCTTGACCAGACATTCAAAAGGGTGGGGAAAAATTGGTGCGTTACCTTTAACTCTATAGGACGAGCCTCACAGACGATGTAGACACTACACTTAGAACAAAAACATGATACTGCCTTGGCGTCACCGACGATACTACCAGCAATGTCGGCTTCGCTTGTGTCATAGCATGACAAATCTTACAGCCCGATAACAGCATATACATGCAAGTCTTGGAAGATGGTACATGACCATTTTTCTTTAGCAAGTGTCCAATTTCATAGTCAAGACTAGACGCCGATCCGCAAGAGAACACTCCTCGCTGCCACCAGTCAGAGGAAAAGATGAGCAATACGCTGACTGGACGATAGTCTTGGCATGCGCTTCATGCCTCATATCACGCTCTTATTGATATGATTCGATGTGGATATGGATAGTCGCCTTCAATGTCTCTATCTCAAAAAGGCTCAGCCTGAGCAAAGCCATCTTCTGTATTACAGACTAGCAGCGCGTCAACCTGGCGGACAAGGTATGCCCACATTCCCGTCGCTGGCTCGTTTCAAAACTGATGAATTAATGGTACAGATACTGTCTGAACCTCGACAACTTGGTGCTGACATCCGATGTTAAACCTCTCACTGCAAGGATTGGTGCTGCTACCTCCCAGCACGAGCGACTGTCCATCCAAGACTGCTTCATCGGTGCCGCCATCTCAGACATGGTTGCCTTAGTGGCCTATCTCGATAGAACGTACCCTCTCTTGGAATCTGTGCTCATACCCAGTGCATGGCTCACCACGTAAGGGCTGTGGGCCTGGTCGTTCCTTCTTGGGGCCTTATGCCGGTACCAACACCAACACCCACTAGTATGATGATACACTACTTTACCCTCTCCGGCGCAGCAGTCGACGCTTTTGCTTTTGTTCTGGCCATTCCTCTTTTCGTGCTGAACAACAAAGATAGGAGATGCTACGGCGGTGTAGATGAGGCTGAGGGAGCTCCAAAGGTGCAGGTGCCAGAGGGTGGGAGCAGGAGAAGCTGTGGACGAATGGGTAGCTTACTCAGAAAATTTTCTGTCTCAGTGACCACTGTACCGAGGAGGCTGCTAGGTCAGAAGACTTGCAGATGTGTGAGTCAATTCTGTTTTCTTCTTTAGTCTCTCCAACTCATCGCTGTCACTAGCCTCCGGTTCTGTTTTACCATCATCACTGAAGACCTGTATGCCCCATCTGTCACACTTGTGCACAATTGACCATTCAAATTGTGGGATGCTGGCCACTTCACCTGACAATGGATCCCTGCATGTCCGAACTACTACTGCGAAGCCCTGCAGGGGGCATGTTAATCACCGTCATGACAGGAAACCAGGGAATAAAAAAGAAATTGGATTGACTGTCATTGAGACGACCTCCATTTTTATGAAGGAACCACTATGGTCGACCCTCGCCATATGACTTCGCCAGTTACTGAAAGTGTACTGCGGGACAAGGTTTCACCCCGCTCAGCGGTATCGGTTTCCTTTCAAGTTCCCCCCTCCCTTCCTTGCCCCATCTCTGCTCCATAAGCACCCATACTCAGCCTGTTTGGCACATCCTTCTTCTCTCCCTCAATCGTCGTTGGCTCGTGTAACTTCATCGCCACGAACACCATGAGCCTGATTGGCCAAGACTTGGCCCATATTTTTGGCATGGGTTTTGCTGGTTCAGACCACTCTCCTCTCGACATAATTCAATGCAGACATGAATATCAGGACCCATCAGCTTCAAGGCCGCTATCACAAAAAAATCAGCGTGCACAAGGATTACAGACTGGCAGTGCACTCACCCAGCAGACGAGGTTGGCACACATTTCGTCGCTTGCTCGTCTCAAACTAATGAATCGATGTTGCAGATACTTTCTGATCTTCGAAGCCATAGCACATAAAGCTGTTTGCGTCCGGTGGCAAAGCTCTCGCAAAAAAGATTGGCATGGCTTCTATTAGCCAAAGTGCTCGTGACTGTCTATACCTATCATTCAAGGCTACATAACCAGAGCAGTCATTTGAGATAAGGCCACCATAGTAGCCTATCTCGACCACCTTCCAGCCTGCCATTCAAGTGCTACCCTTTTACACCCCATCTGTTCTTCGCAGTGAATGACATGGCGACCGTGTAATATGCGAAGACACAGCACACTTTGCCTGATTCTACATGGATATCAATACCAGTCATTTCGAAGCTCAAAGATTTCCATGTAAACTTCTGTCAAACATCCTATTATGTACCTGCCCGCCTGCGGTACTTGGTGGCCCTCCCTCACAGTGGCAAAGCGTGCCTACTCTATACCAACATTTCAATACCGCCAGCCGGAGGAGAATTGTGGGGAAAAGACAGACATCGTGTGCGTTAGCTATATCAACCCTCGCCTGCAGGCTTGCCATCTATAGCTTACAGTGCCAGGAGCTTGCAACACTCTTACTTTCACAGAGATGCGACCATCTTCCATTGCTCCATGGTTTGGTCCAAGAAGCACTCCACAGGCTCGTATCACTTTGCTTGATTGGATGTGGATACCAATACCAGTCGCTAGGACATTGAGACCCATATCTTGAAGAACAGAGGTTTCCATGCAAACTCCTGCCGAGTGATTCTATTCCGTGGTACTTGCTAGTCTCCAATGGTGGCGAATCATGCTTACTCGGTATGGATATCCCATTTGAGGCAGACGACTTCTCATGCACGAGTGCTGTGCGCATCTCGCTCAATGTTACAGACAGTGTCTGAACCTGGTATATTTTCCACCCCAAACTATCTGCATCGAGGTTGCCTGGCATTGATGCTATCGCCAAAAGGATCTGCATAAGATGACATGGAGTATCCCTCGGATGCACTATTCCCATCATCCGAGTCTTCTCTACCAGTGCTGTCATCCTCTAGTGTATCTCGATGCAACATGGCTCTCTCTTTCCATGCTCATATCCACGCTTTCCAGCTCACCTTCTCCAGTGAAGTAATTGATGCTTCTGTTCCCTTCCATCCGTTCTTCCTGGCCGTAACGACAAAAATGAAAGATGGAATGACCCCATAGACGAGACCAGACAGAGCTCTAAGGTTGGAGACACCAGAGGGAGAGGAGGGAAAGAAGTTGTAGGGGAAGATGCGAAAGAGAGAGCCTTGGGAAGATGAGCATTCGAAGGAAGTGAGGGTAACTTTGTTACATGGAACAGGCTATGTGTTTCGCATAAAGTGCTTTTCTGGCGTGGTGTTTTATTATGGCAATTCATTCTCTTTGTAATTAGGATTGGTCTCTCATCCGAATGGAGGACGACCTCATTGCAGTGCTCCAGACAATTAACATGGGGAGAACTGGCTCCCAGCATTGATCTCTTTTTCATTCTCTAGCATCCTTTATTCATACTGGATTATACACATGGATCGCTTTACGGACCAACAAATTATATCATAATGGTGAATTTACTGGGACTTTGTGATGGTACTGTGATGGGAAGTCAGCAGTAACAGGCACACGAGAGTTAGATGAAGCAGAGAGTAGTCGAACGGAGGAAAGACCAGGTGAAAAGAACCTCTATTCGAGTAGTTCTAAGGAGTACGTAGGAGTATTTTAGGTCTTATATACGAGTAGAATAGGGTCTAATCTATAAAGAGAACATGGCTAAAGTAAAAGGAAAGGCAGGATAAGTAATAGAGATGTGGGATCACTGCAGTAAAGTAAAAGAGTAGAATAGTAAGTAGGTAATGGTAAAGATAAGATAGGGATAAAGAGAATGAGAGTACCGGCACGACGTGCCAGCACGAATCTCCTACATATGCCCTCCAATGCTTTCACAAAAGCATCCTGTTACGCTTCGATCTAAGCCTTGTTGGCGTCGGTGGTGGTAGGTGTGTCCATTTCCATGGCATTGGAAGGAGGAAGTGCATCGTCTGGAATGGGGGACAAACTGGGGGGTCCAACGACATGCAGTGAATATCCCGTATTGAGTCTCTAAGCCTCGTGCTTTGAACGATTCTCTTGGCAGTGCTTCTTGGCTTGGTCGACACGATCCCTGCGACATTGCAAAGCAGAAGCTTCTGCCCACACAGCACGGTTTACCATAGCCCACTCCTGGTCGCTCAGTACTTGCCCTGTGGGTCCTGCTGGTGAAATTTCGTGACCCCCCTGCTCCTTGGCCTTCCATTTGAGTGGTACTGGGGGAAAAATCTCCTCTATGGTGACACAAATGTCGGATAGTACTTCAACATTCCCTCCACATTGAACAGGAAAAGCGCTGGGCATCTCCTCATTGTTCCATCTGGCCATGAATGACCTGTATCCTGCGGGCTTGGCTCAACCCTCGGGAATGTCACCCTTCACCAAGTGATTCACATGTTTGAGGTACAGGATGACTTGCTCGCAGTGGTATCCCAAAGGCCCATTCTTGGTCTTCAGCATGATGAAATATGGGCCGCACGAATGAAGTTCATCAACACAGGGAGAGGGGGCATATAGAGAGTTGTGGATGGAGATGTGGAGGGTGTAAAGCAAAGAGTCAAGGTCGTCGAGAGTTTGAGTAAGTTGCCGTGGAGATAGGTGGGTGGTATGTATGGAGGTAACATGAGAACGGGCTGCATTGAGGTGTTGATGGATGGGAGGAGGGCAGGGAAGTGAAGCCAGGCAGTGATCCGCAATATAATCCCTCGAATGCATCACCCTTTTATAACCTGAAGGTCCCACACCATCCCGAATACCCGACAAAAAATTTTTCTTCATCTTCCCACCTTCCGAAACCTTGGGGCCATGATCAATATGAACAGCCCCTAGGAAAAACCCAGGCTCGTCCTCCGATGATCCTGAGCCCTCCTTCAATTGATTCACTGATGCAACACCAAGCATGTCAAAGTAGTCCTGTAGGGCAGCTAGGCCCTCCACATCAGCTAGCGGCATCCATGTGCAATCCCTGGATGCCCATTCCACCTGAAAAATGGCTCGCACTCCTTTGCCAACATGAGAGAGAATACTGGAAACCTTCCATTCCTTTTCCAGAGGCTCAGTCAAGCCAACCTGCACATCTGACTGACCAGGGAACAGCCTGGTCATCATTAGGGACATGTACGCGAAGCAAGGATGCATGGAAAACGTTGTGCACACCATGTCGTCTGAGGTCAGCCAGGAGATCGATCTCGTAAGAGCCATTTCCAAAGTCCCAAGCAATCCTGTAGGGTCCAATGAACTTTGGGGCCAACTTTCATGCCAACCCTTTAGGTAAAGAGATGTTTTTCATGGATAGGTACACAAGGTTACCAAGAGCCAAAGGTGACTGGCGACGATGTCTATTTGCGTTGTGCATTTGCTTTACATGGGCAGTCAAAATGCTATCGTGAGCAGCCATTAGTGCAGTTTTAATAGTTTCAGCAAACTTATACACACCAGGGAACTTGGCATCAGTGGGTGAATTCCAAAGCATAGACCAGGGAATCCAGCCATTATTCAGAAAGAATGGCGCATAGCCTGTTGACTCAGAATGAGCACTATTGATAGCAAATTCAATGGCTGGCAACTTCACAACCCAATCTTTCTGATTCAGGGAAATACAGTTGCGAATCATCTGAGTGATTGTTCTATTCACGTGTTCAGTAGAGCCATCAGATTCAGGATGATATGTGCTGGACATATGAAGATTAACTCCCATCAGCTTGTGGAGGTGAGTCCAGAAGTTGCTCGTAAAAATCACATCACGGTCACTTATGATATTCTTGGGCAGGCTATGGTGCTTATATACTTCAGAGAACACAAGCTTGGCAACCTGCAGAGCCTTGTAGTCAGTCCGAGAAGAAACTAAGTGCACCATACCGGTCAGAAGGTCTATGAACACAGAGATACTGTTAAACGAACCATCCCTGTTCGAAGACTCAGGAAGAGGACCTACAAAGTCAAAACCCATTGACTCCCAAGGGAAGGTCGGCACCTTCAGTGGGTTCAGCAAGCCATACGGCTTCTGATTAGTAGGTTTACTCTGTTTACACGTTGAACAGGACTCACAATAGGCCCAAGTATCCCTCGCGATACTCTTCCACCAGACATGGTCTCTGAGGTAGGCCAACGTCCTTGAAGATCTGAGGTGGGCCACCAGAGAGTGAGCCTCACTGATCACAATCTCTCGTAAATCACGTTCATGTATGCAAATGCTCTCTAGGATGCAGAGGAGCTTGTGACCTCCCTCGCGTAGGTAAACTAGTCCATTCTCCACTGAAAAGTTCTTGAAGTGGGACAGAGAGGCCAATATTTTGGATAACAGTGTATCACCAGGGCTGTTGTCTCATATGATTGGCAGCAAGTCGATGCCTAGTAAATGTGAGGAAACGAGGCCAGTGAGGGACGACAGTGAGGAACTTGCTAAGGTTGTGTCAGGGCCTGGCACAGCCCCAGCTGCTGGTAACTCCGAATCCGGTATAGCCAGGTTTTGGATCGGGCCTCGTTGCTCAAGTGGCTGTGCAGCCACATTTCCACCGATGTTCAACGTTGATGGTCCCATGTCAGGCTTGCCCTCCGCTTCAATGCTGCCATCATCAGACGAGGATGACCCCATGTCATCACCACTGTTACTGGGTGCTGCAGCCCAATCCCCAGGACCCTCTGAAGGCCTTGGGCTGTGCAATACAAATTTCTTGCCTGCCATATGCTTTGTGAATGCCATGGATGACTCGTTGGCACGGATCTTTGGTTTCAGCATCCATTTTGGCTTCGCACCAGAGCCCATACGTGTCAACATCATAGTGTTCACCTCAAGTCGCATCAACACAGGTGTAGAAACATCAAGGTCACTGGGATCGGTAGGCGGATGATCCTCATCATGTTGAGGGAATTCAGAGGGTGCATGGACAGTCCCTAGAGACTCGTTGGAGTACAGATGAGATAGGGCATCCGTGAGTATGTTCTCAGTTCCGGGAACGTATACTACCTCAAAGTCAAAGTCCAATATCAACTCCATCCACTGAGCTTGTCGTCCAGACAAGTTTCGCTGATTCAAGAGGTGAATGAGTCCTTTGTGATTGGTGTACCACTTGAAGTGACATCCCAACAGGATGTCTCGATGTCGCCTCATTGTCTCAACTCCCGCTGATACACCTGGTATCAGGCTACCCATAGATTTTGCGATTTTACATCAGTTTATGCAATCTACAAGCAGTACAGAGAGCTACAGTGGAGGCTTCGTGCTGGTAGCTAAATACTACATAAAGAATGAAAGCACGGCAGTACAGAATGGACTTAGAAACGACGTCTCGAAGAGTCAATTCTACCAGCCGTCAACACGCCAAGCTAAGCCCTACCTAAACAAGACTATTACAGTCAAATCTCGGGGACTCGTCTGTATGGAGTATAAAAACCAAGAAGTTGAAGAATGGAATGAACTAGATGCCTCATCGCTTTGACGAGTAGAAAGAACCTGTCAAGAAAAATTGCTAAGTCGAGAAACAGATCAGCTTTCGAGATCAACTCAGGCTAGGAAAGGAATAACCTTGGAAGAATGAATAGCTGCATTGGGTACCGAGATGACCGACCTTGATCGCGCAGTGATCAACAGAATATAATCTCGGACCTGCAGTCGATCGCGATCGGTGGTTACATCCTCGAGATCCTGTGCATACCACAGTATTCCATACATACGGCACGTGGCAAGCCTTGCAGATGGAAGAAGGAGCACCCATGGACTAGTAGGGCACTCCTCAGCAACAGAATAACCCAGTGCAGTCGTGTCAAATTGAATAGAAACTATGGAATGGCGCGATACTTGTAGGATAGTGACTCACCGTTTGTATTAATTCCAAAGCTCGTACCATAATTACTGTAGATACGGGCTCCTATACCTAGAACACAAATCATATAAATTAGCAGCAACTAGATGCATAATGGAAGGAAAGCATTCCCCCGCGTTTGTGCTAGTAGCCTGTATAGCTACCTAATCAATCACTGGTTTTATTGCATATCCTCGACTGAAGTGAATTAAGTTACCAAAGTCAACCCATAAGGATGACTACAGTAATCTAGAAGAGTTAAGTAGGAAGTAGAGCCGTCCCTGCATTTGCACCTTGCTAGTTAATTGAACTGCTCCATGGACAAAGGCCTCGTGCTCTCTCTCTCCGAGATTAGCAATCTAGATGTGCTGAGTTGACTTTAAGTCAAAAGACCTCATCTAGTTGAAGTAAAATAAACCCTAGAACGCTTTAAGTTCGAACAATTGTCGAGTTCAAGGAACTCCAGAGTCTGTGTACTCTTTGCAAGTCTTGTACTTGAAGTCAGAACCTGAGCGTTCTTTGTAGAGTGATTTTGCACTCTTTGTAGACCTCGGAGTCTTTGGTTGTTTGATTATTTGAAGTGTCCGCTAGAAGCTCTTCTAGACGACGTCAAAACGAGTATAACTTGCTCAACTATACCTTTCAAAACAAGTTCATAAAACCCCGCTATTGCGGACTAGTGTACTTTGTGTAAAACACATTGAAAGAAGAATTGAAGTTGTTTTCAGACAAAATCCCACTAGGTTATCTAAATCTAAGTACATCGTGAGTGCTTCTATCATACTCACCCTTGAACTTATATACATTGGTGATAGTGTGTGTGTGTGTGTGATTTAGTATCTAGATTGACGATCTAGATGCTTGTTTCATTTGTGCACTGCCCGTTACCAAGCACATCACCACGAACATTTCCTGTTCGTGCACTGGGTAGTTCTGTTGCGTGGAATTCAACTTGGCAGAGAAAAACACAGCCACCTTCGCTCTTTTCCAGTCTTCACCCTGGCTTACGATGCCTGCAATTCTGGTACTGCTCGCGTCAGTAACCACATTAATGGTGGGTGCCTCTCTTGAATAATCAAGGGGAACACGATGATTCCCTCGCCATCGATGTACATATTCTTTGACTTGTTCAAAGGCTCGTTGATGTGTCTCAGTCCAATTCCAGGGTACAGTAGCTCCAGTTAGGGTGTGCAACACCCCCATGGGAACACGTACGTGGTCAATATTGTCTGCAAGGTATCCGACCGAGCTGAGAAACCCACTGAGAAGCTCACAGTTCATCGGTACCTTCCAATTCAAGACAGTATCAACCTTAGAAGGGTCCATCTTGATGCCCTTGTCATCAATGATGTGTCCCAAGACGTGAAGTTCCTTGGGCAAAATCTGGCACTTCTTCTCGCTCAGGTATAGTCGCTGCTCCTGAAGTATATCGAATATGATCTCACAATGCTTCGTGTGTTCCTCAATAGTATCCGAATATACAATGATATCATCAAGGTATACATCCATGAAGACGCCGATATATGGCGGGAACAAATGATTCATCAAAGCTTGACATGTAGCAGGTGCATTGCAATCGCCCTGTTGCATTACGAGACTCATCATATTCCCATCAGGTGTGGTTACTGCTGTGCAATCGAGGTGCTCCGTGATTATGCAGATCTGTTCATATGCTGCCTGCAAATCGAATAAGGACCAATACCGTCTGCCTGCCACTTGTCGGAGAATCCCATCAATAGAGGCTAACGGTGCTACCATCTTATGTGTGTTGGCATTTTGCTCATGCAAGTCAAATACAGTATGTAGTTCTGGCATATTTTTTGGTTTATTAGGTTTAAAAATGCATAACATTGGGATGGTATTCCGAGCTGTGGTGACTTTCCATCACCCCGTGGTAAGGTAATCCTGTTTCTTCTGTATCCATTGGCCAAGCAATGGCTCAGGGCACTTAGATGGTCTCCAGTGGTACATTTTGCTTTCATCAATCAGAGGAATTTTGTGATTGACAGGCCTGAAGGGGGGGTAGTGGTGCCTTTGCTGCATCATCAAACAGTCCTCGGGCTCGAGCAGATTCCAGGATGATGTTCTGCACATCAGAGATGGCTTCTTCAGCCAATTCCACGGATCGTGATGCTAGCTCACTAACATTGGACCCTTCAATGGATAAGCTCTCCTCACTTCCAATATGGACTATGTTCTCATTCATCCCCATAGTGACTTTATGCTGAAATAGGAATGGGGTCCCAAGAATGATATCGTAATTTCCAAGGTTTGCGATGTCAAAGTACCTACGTTCATCAATTCCTTGATATTGAAACCGAGGCTTTGTGCCATAATTAATTTTCGAGCATGAACCCTGTACTGCAAGATGAAGTGAAATTGGTTTCTCAAGCTCAATTTTCTTCAAATTTAATTGGTCTGCCAAGGTAGTTGACATGAAGTCAGACAGCAAACCTGAATCAATGAGGGCCCTAGCTTTATTCCCTTCAATGAAAACATCTACTACCATTGGCTTTGGGACTAGCTGAGTAAAGTCACGAAGAATACCCACATTGCGTTGGATAGCAGTAAGTTTGTCCTGTTTGTGACTCACATGTCCAAGATACAGGCTGGCTAGTCTCCTGCAGGGTTTATGTGAAGAATCTTCTACATACCCACCCTCCAAGCCAGTGAGACCAACTTTCCAACCAGACCAGCAGCAGGTACGCAGTTGTTTCTTCTCCCAATGTTGAACCCGGGCTAACCACCAGTTGTAGAGTTGGAACTCTGGGTGCAAAGCCGTAGCCCGAGGTAGACAAAATTCATGACCAAGAGCACGATCCCTTACACGAAAAACGTTCAGAGACTTGTATGAAACAGTAAATCTCCTGGCCAGACCATGGAACCCATCATTAAAGCCATCATCCAGGTACTCTTCTATGAATGCCGCTGTCAAGTCCTTACTGAGTGGAGGAGGAAGCTCCACAGAGGGGATACTATACGTATGGATAAGGTACATTCAGTACCATGACACCATGTCGCCATACTGAACAACGTCTGCAGGAATCAACACCTCATCCTGCTCATCACGGAATGTATCAAACAGCACAAACTTAACGTCGTTAGTTTGGTACATAGTAAACCATGGACTCCCGCCCTCCATTCCCTTGCAATCACTCAGCTCGAGTGTATCCAGCCAGTTGGTCTCAGCATTCATACACCAAGTCCACCATTCATCCAGCATATCGCCCATTGGTCAGTTGAGCCATAACTCAGCCTCAGTAGGTGCCCAAGCTCGCATGGGGGGTGAGTACAATTCAGAATCATTGAGCTCCAACCCAATATTATTTAATTGAAAGCTCGTTGAGCTCTCTGCAACTTTAGACAGACGATCAGCCTCCTTCAACTTCAGCTGGATGCTTGCTGAAGACATTGTAGGTGGTTTCCGATGACCAGGGGGCCCAGACTTAGATCTAGATGTGATTGAGGTACCTTCAGGGCACTGACGAGACACATGGCCCAGTTTTCCACATCAGAAACACTTTCCTTCAGCCAGGTACTCATCCTGTTGTCTTTTGTTGAGATGATGCTCATGCCAAGGTCCCTTCTTATCCTTCACAGGTTTTTCCCAATTACAAACAGGGCCTTTACGAGGGATGCCAGATAGTTCACGCAGCTCATCATTGAAGCTCTGACGAGTAGGCTTGGGAGTATGATCCTGTCTCAAATGAGGTATGTCATTCCATTTATTCCATTCAGTAGTCTCATTGGTATGACAGTTGTTTGCATGACAATTATGCTCATAGTCACCATGGGCTTTGCCCTCCTCCATGTCATGAGATATATCCAAAATCTCAGCCATATCAATGATTTCCACCCAAGTATTGACTTCCTTGTTATAAAGATGATGACTCAACTCCCTTCTAAGGTCACATCGCAATCCATACCACAAACGAAGCACCTGTGTTCGTTCAGATTCATCTCCAAGCATATGATAGTGACATTTTAGCTCATGAGCATATGCATGTACATCACGACTCCCTTGGAAACACTGTCTGATCTTGCGATGAACCTTAGCTCGGAAATCATGAGGAAAACAGTAGTTGAACATTTCCCAGAAAAAGGTATTCAGATCCCATTCATTGTAGTTCATACTAACACTTTGGTCATAGAAGTCTTGTGCCTTTCCTTCGAGGTAACATGAAATCTGGAAGACTTTGTCCTCATCCTTAATCCTTGCCATTTTCAGGTACTGTTCACATTCTTGGATGAAATATGCAACCAATTTCGGATCATTGCTACCATTGTACGGGGAAGGAGGAATGGGTTTCTCCCATGTTGTACTGTCTTGTGAGTGAGAACACAACCGGCATGAAGACCTCTTCCATTTGTGGTGGTTCTTCTTACGATGTCCATTTTCAGAACCAGACTCATCGCACAAGTGAGAAGACGATGATGAGGAGGAAGAATCAGGATCATCAGGATCCTCAGTAGATATGGCAGTCCCTTCTCCAGCATCTGACTTTTTCAATACTCGTCCCAGGTAAATATTAGGAGCCACTTGATCAGCTGCGAAAGCTGGTCCACTCTGAACATTCGGTGTATCGCGATGCTTGCTGCCTCGCATGGCATTCTGTGCAATGCCAATCATATGCTGCATATCGATGTGAGGGTTACCTATCACATTATTGGAACCTGACATTGGAGATTGACCTCGCAATCCACCATGATCACTAGCATTCAGACCTGAAGGGCTTGATGACTTGGAATTTCCCTTCTGGGAGCCCAAAGTTGTGTCCAACATCTCTTCAGACCTGACTTCCTCCTTGATCCTAACCTTCTTTACAGGTTTTGAGATTGGGGTGCTTGTAATTGGCAGAGTAAAGTTAACGGTGTCTCTGGGAATCTCTTCCTTGGTTATGGGGGTTGAGGTCTCAGCCTTCTCAGGTTCTACACAGGACGAAGTACCAGCTTGATTATCAGAGCGATGCTTATGCGTCTTCAAGTTCCAAGCTCTAACAACATCCTCATAGATTGCCTTCTGTACTTCAGGATCCTCATCCTTCAGGAAGTCCAAGTTTTCCCAAGCACAGCATTGGTTTTCAGGATCTAACTCCTCATTGCTAATCCCAGGGATACCTGTATCATGGAATTCACGGACCTTTCCCTTATTCAATGAGGGCTTAGTTACAGGTACATCTGTCTTTTGACCATCGTCATCATCAGAAACCAAATTATTTCCTGTTTCTAATGCTTGAGCCATAGCCTCAAGTTGAGCTGCTTCTGCGGCAGCCTCTCAGTCTAACCGGACTCATTTCGGAATATTGAGGAGTTGCTTCTCGAAGTGTTTCTGATGCACATCGTGAACAAACTTAACTGTATTGTCAATAGCAACCTTTTTCTCATCCGAATCCAAAAGAACATCAAATCTATTTTTTGAGCTAGTGCTAAACCCAGTGGGCTTTGAACTGGGGTCTGGGGAAGGGGTACATCTACCCTTCATCTTCCCTACTGTCTCCCATCCCTCAATATCACTAGGATGGAGAACTACTGAATCATCCTGTAAATCAAGAAGATCCACCTCAAATGTGGTTTGAAAACTCGCAGATATCGGCTCATTCGCAGTAACGCGACTGCCATACTGGCTAGGAAGGTCAAAGTCCTTGGATGCAATGGACTTCTCCTTCACAGGCCAAGAAGATAATCCCTTCTCATTGATAGAGACAGAGCCCAAGCTTCTCACGCTGATGTCAGGCATGAGGCTCGCAATGCTAGTAAGGGGGCTTTCCATGTCCCCCAAAAGGTCAGCATTATTTTTAGATTGAATAGACGGCAACTCAGCAGAAACGGCAGGCGCCTTTTTATTGCCCTGAACCAGGAGCCCCTGAGCAAATGGAGCAACCCCTTTTGAATGGGTAAACAGTGCCATAGATGCACAAGTGAGAAGAAAAAATTGAAGCGAGTTTAGAGAGGTAGAAGAAGCAAGAGGTTTGGAATTTTGGAGTGGTGAGGCAAAGTCATGCAGAGATCCAGGTGATCAAGCCAGAGGGTTCCAATCGATGAGGCCTTGCCAGTAGGGCTTTTTTGTTTTTTGAAGTCAAGGTTTGTTGAATTTGAGGTTCTTGTAGGTCAAAAATATGTGATGGTACTGTGATGGGAAGTCGGCAGTAATGGCACACGAGAGTTAGATGAAGCAGAGAGTAGTCGAACGGAGGAAAGACCAGGTGAAAAGAACCTCTATTCGAGTAGTTCTAAGGAGTACGTAGGAGTATTTTAGGTCTTATATACGAGTAGGATAGGGTCTAATCTATAAAGAGAACATGGCTAAAGTAAAAGGAAAGGCAGGATAAGTAATAGAGATGTGGGATCACTGCAGTAAAGTAAAAGAGTAGAATAGTAAGTAGGTAATGGTAAAGATAAGATAGGGATAAAGAGAACGAGAGTACCAGCATGAATCTCTTACAGACTTTTTGGTGTACCGGTTTTCTTCAGCGACAACCTCGATTCAAATTTGGGCAGGGTCCGTTCCTGCTTGCTATTACAATTTCTAAGATCAGAAATTCGATCCAAGATCCGAGTTTCTGGACCTGAATGATCATGATCTATCCGATCTCTGAAAGCAAATGGTCTTTCGTACTTTGAAGGGTCCCACTCATTGTTTTATCATTACGGTGTCCCAGACCTTTAGGCATGCTGGATGCAAACATCATCATATCACATGCCAAGGTCTGTGGTAGAAATGGCTGTGATATACAGTAAATGTTTTTTGAATCTGCCTGGGGCAGTTTGCTGATCAGGAACATCCGGCATCAAAAAACACAGATTGTCAAGCACTTTGCATGAGATGAATTCAAAATTGTACTTATGGTGATAAAAATAAGGACTCAGAACTCTGGGACATGAGTAGCTAAACATGATCAGCAGTCTACTTGAAAAACTAATATCCTTTGAGTCAAATGCTTGTTGTGTGATCTAACTTTATAGTAATAATGACCAACAGGGTAAATTGTTTTTTATTGATGTCCTCGGTATTGCATTCCCTGGTAGCATGAAGAGCAATACCTTCTGATATTAAGTGCTATCATAAATATTAGCAGGAAAGAATGAGAAATTCCAAAACATACAATACTGTTCTGGGTATACCACACTAATATTTGAGTATTTTTACCTTATTGCTATTTTCAAAAATGATGAGATTCTCGAAAAAGAAAAAAAGTTTTGACACGCCAGATGCCAACCTGATCTCGGCCTGCACCATCTGAGACAACCCATGACTGTCGACAAAACAATCTATGACGTTGATCGTCATGGCCCCCTGAGTGCAGACTCGGAGGTCTTTTTGCAGGGCCCAAAACTTTTTAATTTATTTTTGGATTTTCATCATTTTTCAAAATAGCAATAAAATACACAGAAAATATTCAAAGTTTCTTTTGTGAAATTTTGCAGAAAACTAATGAAAATATTTTGAAATATTCTCTGTATTCTGCAAATTTTGCACAAAACAATGAAAATCTCAAAAGATTTTCAGTATTTTTTTCTGAAAAAAAAAACATATAAAAACTTTCAATATTTTCACTATTTTTACAGGTAAAAATATATTGACTTTTGTCCAGTGATAGCGAAGACTATAGACTGAGGGTCAGAGTGAGGGTGATTCAAGCATGTATATACATACTATTGCCAGCAGGTATGCAGGCAAATTGGCGGTTTACAGTTCACAGGATGGAATAGACTAAACTTGCATTTAGACTCCTCGCACTGAATCTAAGAAAGGTTGAAAAGAAACATGAAAAATAAACCCTAGATGGCTGATATTATGAGTATTTGACATACAATTTTGTCAGGCTAAGTTGACAGTGATCAGTAAATTTTTATGGTTGGTATATCAGAATAGTAATGGCATACAATGTTTATAGTATGGCTGCATTGAAGATAGACATTCCTTACTTTTTGCTCAAGTTATAAGAGTAGATAGCATGAAATGGACAAGGATCTGCTCACTGACAATGGCAGCACATTGTGTATATGTGGAAGGAGTAAAAGAATGCAACACAAGGTCAAATGTGACTGTCAAGCACCAACTCAGATGTGTGACAATATGCCAATGAAAGGACTGCCCAATAGTGAGTGGCCAGCAAGGCAAGTGAGGTTCTAGATAGGGCTGTGCACTGTACTGTACACAGTATATGGCCGTAAAGCCATGGTCTCAGATGGTCATGGAAATATCCGTATACTGTACCATATGCTTAGTTTGAAAGCTTTGTCGGTGTCGGTACAGGTGCTTTATGGCTGTCTATGGCCATTGACGACTGTGCAAAATATATTTACTCATATAGACTTACAAGCACAGTCCCCTGTTATTTTATGTGTGAATATGACAAAATCACAAACATTAGGTACAGAGAGAACAAATGGGCCATGTTGAGTGAGGCCAGAGGTGCCCAAAAAATAAAGGAAGGTTACATGCATTGCCTGAATGCAACTGAGAGATTGATGAGGTGGTGAATAGTCAAACTTTGAAGGAGTGGCAAAGTAAAGGAATTGGCTCATGGCTATTTTGTGTTAAAAATTTACTCGGGAAAAGGCTCTAGATAAGACTACAAAAGTATTTAAAATATAAGCTGTAATACAATGTTGTACAGCCATCTGTTGGTGCTTCTGATGGTGACAGAACAACCATACACCATACCATACAAATGGCCATTAGGGTGCATTCAGCTTTGGTCTATATTCCATATAACGGTTACTGAAAACTGTACAATATGGTGATGGTGTGCAGCCCTAGTTCTGGAAGAGTGGTGCCCTTGTGGTCAGGACTCTGCCTGAGTAAGAATGTCTGAGCTCATCTGCTATGAACCAGGGATCAAGTGATGTGGAAGCAACTGTTAATGATCAGAACAATGATATGGTGATGGAAGTCAAGTATGATGCAGGAGTATCAGCAAGCAGGTTATGAATGAACTGGATAGGAGTGATGATGAGAATCAGATGACGATCAAGGAAGAATGACATGAAGCAAATGACTAACACAAAAAATAGGGGTGAATTCATGACATTACCCCCCCACTAAGACTCAGTCATCCCAACTGAGTCAGTGTCAGATTTGCTGTCTGAAGATGGGTAGGAGTTGTCCGAGTATGAATTTTCATTTTCGGCATCCATGAAGAGAGCTCCCAGGTGTTGCTTGTATTCCAGTACAAGCTCTTCAGCATTGGCAAGTTGACTTTGCGGTGAAGAGGCTGGCTGTGGGCACCTGTGGAATAGTGAGCGGGCTAAAAGGCAGACCTCAAAAACCCACACACACACTCACACAGCTACACAAACTACAAACACCCTCATAAGTTCTAGGGGGAGCAATTATTCCTAATGTGATCTGGCTATACTTCAATATCTCGAAGAGTTTCTCTTATTCTCAGTGCTCTTAGCAAAGCTAAGCTTTCTCTAATGAATCCCTAAGTCTAGGAACTTTTACAGGAAGGTCGTTCACTGGCATGACGCAACCTTCAAGGCAGATTTGAGTTAAAATACACAAGGGACACTGATCCCGACAGAAACAGAGGCAATACACACCAAAACTTTAGTGAGCTCACTGAAAGAACACCACAGGCAAGCACTGACTTAGCCCGCTTGCTACACAACTGTATGTAGGGGTTCTCCAACTAACTTCAACAGATGATCTCAACTCAAGAACACTTCAGAAGTGCTCAGAAACAGATTCAGAAAACGGAAACTCGAAACAGAACTGATGCAGAACAGACAGAACAGAACAGAACAGATCTTGCTTTTCCTCTTCAGAACATACTCCGAATGGACTTATCAACACTCAATGGAACAGAACAGCTTCACTGATTCTTATTCTCTCAGAACTAAGTGCACAAAAAGTCTTTTCTCAAGGGTATCTCGTATTTCTCTGAGTGAGCTCGATAACTCTATGCAAAGCTCAAAGTCACAAACTGATCCTTTGCTACAGCACCACCTTCAACATGTGCACTGGAACTTGGGGGCTCAAAACTTACTTCTACCTACTGTAACCAGCCTACTTATACTACAGGGGAATTAGAATTACAAATGTTGCGCAGTACCCAGACTTCTACATGTGTAGCACGTTGCCACTGCCGCCTTACTGAGCATCTGAGTTGGACTTCCCAGTTTTAGTCTCATTTCCATAGTAAGCTCACTAAACACATGCCAAGAGGTGCTCTCCTGACACCCATGGGCTTGTTCTCTAGCGACTAACAGGTTTAGGCACATGGAACTATCAGTCCTGGCATATGTCATTCAAGACTTCTTTCTTGGATTCACAGAGGCTTCTCATAGACACGGCAACAAGTGAGTCTTCTAACAATGGGACTCAGAACAATGGGATGCAGGCTTGCGGACTTTGGCTGAAGCCCATTGCCCCAGTTCGTGCTGGTGGTATCTGTCATCTCGCTTAAGGATTTCCCCATATTTTCAGGTATGATGTGTCACAGTTAGCGAGTGCGCTAAGTATTCTCAGTGTCACTGCAATCTTCAAGGTTTTATCTAGCTCCCACGAGCATGCTTGTAAGTTAAAGCCTAAGGCATTGGGTATAGGGTTTAGCCTTCTCATCATGCATGCCCATCAGGTACAGTGCTGTGACTAAGTCCTGTTTAGAATCCTGTTGCTTCTTATGCCATAAGTTATATTCCATATCATTGCACTGCATAGCATTAGTGTCGACATGTAGTTTTAGTCTGCTCACTCACTATATCTCAGTATGCATGTAAAACATGTTAGATTGCAAAATTACACATGTAAATAGGCTGCAGTCACAACACCGGAAACATCGCTTTTCTCTTTTGAGACGATCAATGTCCATAGGTTCGCCTTCACCGCCATAGGTGAATCTGGTGGCATCCCTTCTGCTCTTCGAGCCACTCAAAGAGCCCCCCACTGTTCCAGGCTTG